CCCCCACTATCTTCAACAAACATATTATTTAGAAGTATTTGAGAGAACACTTAATGCTTAATATTTATAAGCATGCATTAGCATTTGTAATTACGTGGGGTTATACTTACAGACAGGACAAATCACATTTTCTTGTTTTGGAGGAGGTTTACGTATTTTACATATACATTTAAACATTCCCAAATGCTAAAGGCCTGCTCATGGGATCAATCCACCGGGCAACCTTTACATAGAGGTAGAATTTCTAATATGAACTTCAGAAGCTTCACATCCAAACACAGCTTTAGGATATTAATCACTTAAAGAATGTGCTGGAAGCTTTATTAGGTATAAGGAATTGATGAAGGAGCCATCTCTAAAATCACCAATTCATATAATTCTTATTCTCCAGGATAAAGCCGAAAGCAGGATTTTGTCTAAAGAGTGACACTAGGTGTCAGGATTTGCAGAATCTACTTGAAACATGATAAATGACCCAGATCTGATGGAGCTTTTGACCTTTAAAAGAAGCAATAATAGAATCTCACTTCTTTTCAATGAGCACTAGAAGCTATATTGTAATTCTCGGGGAAGATTCACAACGTTAATCCAAACATTAATCTTGATTTAAAACTGATACTAATAATTTACTAATTTCTTGATAAAGCATGTTTATGGCTGTTGGTGCATTTTTTTTTTCCTGTTAATAACTATACCTTTTTAAAAGTGAATGCAGTGTTTTAAGTTGCTTGAGATAACTCCTTTTTAGTAGTGAGAGAGTGACCAATTCCTTACTGGCAACCATGTGTGGTGTCTCCGGGGGAGAGTTTATGTAAACGAAGGTAGTACTTACACCACACTTTTCTTTCCTCAGATCCGTGGCATTTCTTCCAATAACTGTCTTCCTAATACAGTCCGTAATCCGTTCCCTTAGTCCTGATCCGTTCCGAGTTCCAAAAGTCCGTAATAAAGCCAATCCGCGATGTATCCTTAACCAGTGTCCGTAATCCAAAACCATAAACCTTTTCTCCTTGCAGTAGTCCGTTATTCCTTAGTTCGATCCTTAACATGCACCTCTTTCCACTCTTTTCCTCCAAAACGCATTCACCTAACCGGCTTCCGCCCTGTTCACTGCCTCCGGGGCACTTATATTTCGGTTCCTGATGCGTCTCAGCTGTGTCTCATTGTTTCTTAAGGTAGACCCTTTCCATCTACTGGTCAGCTGATTCTTTTTGTCCGCCATCTTGCTAAGGTCCATCTCTAGTATTTTCAGTGTTTCATTTCGGAAATACCTGTTAGAGATGACCCTTCCCCGGGTCCTCTTACATTCCCTCCCCCTGAGATCAGCCCCGACCTCGGGCGATCTAGAAAAAAATAAACAGTGCATTCGGGAGAGGGCGTCTACATTTCCTTGTTTCCTTCCGGGTCTATATACCGTCTGAAATTGAAATCTTTGCAGACTAAGACCCCAACGCGTAATTCAATCGTTTTTATCCATATTTTGTAACATCCATGTTAATTGCGCATGATCTGTGTATAATGTAAATTGTCTTCCCAATAAATAATACTTCAAATAGTCTAGGGCCCATTTGATTGCTAGACATTCTTTCTCTATCGTGGAATAGTGTTTTTCGGACGGATTCAACTTACGGCTGATATACAGAATAGGATGCTCCAGTCCTTCAATTTCTTGCGACAGTATGGCTCCAACCCCAGTGTCTGAAGCATCAGTTTGTACCATGAAAGGCTTACTGAAGTCTGGTACCTGTAAGACGGGTTGAGAAGTGACAGTTGCTTTTAAGTCTCGGAAAGCCCTCTCTTGCAAGTCGGTCCATTTTATTTTCTCTGGACAGCTCATCTTCGTCAGATCGTGTAGAGGGGCGGCCATGGCTGCAAACCCTGGGATGAAACGTCGATAGTAACTGGCCAGTCCCAAAAACGTTCGAATTTGCTTCTTGGCATCCTGGCAGGGACCTTATGAGGTGGTAGAAAGGGTGGTGTTGGATCATTTCGTGAGGAGTCTGCCTGTTCACCTGAAAAGGAAAGTAAGTGAAGGGGATCCCCAGACACTGATCAGGCCGTGGACTTGGTGGACAGACACCATGCCACAGAGGCCCTGATTAGGGAGGAAAAGGGGGATTTTCAGAAAGAGGAGAGAAGAAGCCCCAAGAGTCTGGAAACCGGAATGAAGTATCGGCCAATGAAGTATAGTGATTACCCGGAACTTATACAATTTAAAAAACCCCTTCGGGGGAGGTCTGACTCAAGGCCCCGGCCATGGAAAGAAACCCGGCGATGTTTTAATTGTCAGGAAGAAGGGCATTTGGCCAGCTATTGCCCCGGCTTGTCCAAACCCATGCAAGTAGACCCCAGAGGTGAAACCCAATGTAACTACCTTACAGCACGGGTCCCGACCTGCGAGGATCCCCATCTTACGAAAATTGAGATAGGGGGAGAACCCATCGAGGCCTTGTTGGACTCTGGCAGTGCTGTGACCCTGGTGACCCCTACAATACTTCCGGGAGAACTAGAGATTCCGAGAATAGAGGAAATACCTGTTAGAGATGACCCTTCCCCGGGTCCTCTTACAGATGTTACAACTAGATAGTGGTGCAAAGCAAAAACTGCAACCTTAAGTAACAGAAGTTTTAATGGTGGCAATGGGTTTGGTAGAGTCCACTGCATCTTACTCATGAGGGGTTTTCTTATGACATGGCAGTCATCTGCAGTGCTAGTGTCCTGGCCAAATTCCCCCACTGACTTTTATCAGTTATGGCCTCCTAATAACCCCCATCAATCAATTGGCTTCATTTCTGTCTTCTTCTCCCCACTGTTAGCTGATGTGTGGTGAGTTTACTGGCGCATCATCCGGGTGCGAGCTACACATTGATGGTGGTGGTGGAGGAGAGTCCCCATTACATGTAAAGCACTTTTAGTGCAGTCTCCAGAAAAGCACTATATAAGTGTAAGGAAAATATTATTATTATCTCTTTGAGGTGGTACTTCAGCTGTGCTGCCTTTGCTCTGATATATAGACTGAAAAGAGATTCTTGGTCTGATCTTGAAAGGCACATTTTGTCTGTATTTAAACTTCCACATTTCAAGGCAGGGAACCTAAAGCAAGCAATACAAACTAAATAACGCACGGTGGTATGCAGGAGCTGTTAGGATTCAGAACTCATAATCAGACGGCTGTTGTCTACTTTAAAACCCTTGAGCAAGGTACTTCACTCAGAATGTTTCATTCAGTAAAGTATCCAGCTGTAAAAAATGGGACAGAATTAATCAATTAAATGATTAATAACGATGGATAAACAGTTATAAAAGCATAAACACTTGGAAGGTTTCAGGTATGAGAGGCAGAAGTGTAAAGGGCAAAAAGATAGAAATATTTTCTTATGATTATAATAGTTCTGAACTGTTAGAACCAAGGAAATACCTGCAGGATGGTTTGGATCTCACAGTGCCTTAAGCTTTATTACTTCATTTTAATATGTGATTCTTGTTTTTAATTCTATTTTTTGTAGAGAATACATATACATCCACTCAGATAATTAATTAATTGATATATTATGCAATAGGTTAGTAAAGCAATTACATAAAGGTTGCACAATATCCATCATTGAGAATGAATGAAAAGGTAACTCCTATGTGACTACTTTAATGATAAAGTAATGACAACGAATTTGTCATTCATGCAATGTTTGACCTAAATTATTTTCTGTTTTTAAGAGTGTGCATTGGCTGTCAGTACCAGTTTAATTAACATTTTCTTTCTTTTTTTTATTTTACAGTTTTGAAGTAGTAAAAGTTATCCATGAAAAGTTATTGGATATGGTGGGAAAGGTTCAGTAAGTATTGCTTTTTCACTCTCATTTCCTTCTAGATTAGGGTGTTTACATCTATTTTAAAGTCGTTTTTAATTTTTTACCTGTTTTTTTTCCACAGAGTGCCCATCATGCTGGTGGGAAATAAAAAAGATCTTCACATGGAGCGGTATGTACTGTGTGTTCTAATGGTAGCTGCATTACTGATAAGAGTGCGTTTTCTGCAACAGAAAGCACTATGTTGTCAGTATGTTTCTTAAAGGATCTAAACAATGTTCTGTACAAAGACAGAATTAGCAGATGCAGAAAGGCTCTCTACTCTTCTACTTTGCCTTAACCAATGAAGATGCGTTATGTCGCTGAGAAAAGGGGATTATGCACAGGTAATTCTCATCTCATTAAGGACAGACAGACAAAATATTGTTTTCTGTTTGCTAATGTTACACTGACTGCATCTTCTTCCACAATTCATTACAAACTGACTACTTTGAAGAAATGCTGTATCTTTCAATGTGGAAAAATCGCTTATACGTTTAGCCTATATCCCTGTCTTATTGAGTTAAGCCAACAAATGTCCTAGGCATTTTCAAATGTGACAATTGAATAAATATGTTTAAAAAAATACATTTCAAGATATTACAGCATCTTTTATAACATACAGAATTATTGCTGAAATAAGGTATGTAAGAAATTCCCCTGTTGCTCCTTGTTTTGTATAATTTGAGAAGGACAGCTTAGAGCTTCTGACCCATGCTGCTGTTACTTGACATTTTGCTGTAAAATTTCTCTTATTTTGTTTTTAGTCTCAGGTTTTGTTTTTAAAGAGATTTTTAGATTCTAGTCCAGAATTTCCTTGTAAATCTGTATCTCACTATTCATTATTCTGGACATTGCTGAAAAAACACAAAACACATACTGGCAGGACTGTCAAACTACAGTGACATGAGAGCCAAAAGCCTTTGTTAAATGGAAAGACTAACACTGTTATTTCACAAAAAGTGGAAGCCACTAGAAGCAATTATGAGGTTAAAGGGAGCAATAATGAGCTAAGCACTTATTGCCCATCAACTAAATCAGAATAGAAAAATATTTGCATAAATCACAATAGTGTTTGGTTCCTACAGATGAGTAATTGCTTCACTTTTTACTATTTATAAAGTAAGCAAAAACAAAATGAGGAAGGCTGAATGTGAACTCCCCTGCAGCCTTGGTTTTGTTTTATTTAAAATATTTATAGCTTTGAGAAGAATTCCCTGAACCCCTTACATGAAGAGAAACAATTTTATTTTACTATTTTGTATACTGGGAAACTAAGTATGTACAGTCTCCCACACGTTTGAAAGTATTTTGGCTGCCTTGGGAAAGAAATTGTCTGGTCTACATTGAAGTCTAAAGTCTGTGGGACTAGACTGCCATTCCGGGGGGATAGTGACACTGAGCTGAAATTCTGGCTCCATCTTTCAATATGTGGAAACTCCCTTAGGCTTAAACACTTTTGCAAACATTGCGTCACATTCAGAAATGGGTCACTTAGCTCACTTTCAGTCTTGCATTTATGCAAAGTAAATAGATGTGGATTTTCACATATGCATTGGATGAAGTATTAAAAGTATAATATTCATTGTACGAAGACTTCAGAAAATTGTAGCATTCGATGTGTGAATCGTATATGTGATATTTAAATCAAAGCTGTTTTTATTACACTGCATTATTTAGTAGTCATACTGAGTGTCTAAACCTCTACTGTTGTACTGTAACTGCATTAAATGTGCATGGGCACATTATCACCCAAAGCTGTAGTTGATTATTCACTTTCCATTACCTTTTCTTTTTATAAATTCTCCCAATAACTATGAATAAATATGTTGATGCCTAGGGCACGATACTGTTGCATATTCGCATATTCTGTGATTTCTTTCTATTTTTTAATTTTTTATGTACCGGTGTGCAATGTCATGTATGAGTGTTTTTTAAAGTCAAATCTATATTGTGAAGTGTAGAAGATGTCTAAGCTTTAATTAGCAAAATCACAATGACTATATATTAGCGGAAAATGCATATCAAAATAAACTTGGCAGACAAATAATTGTAATGGAGGCAGAAAAGAACCACACTCCCACAGCTTATTGATTGAGTTTAGAATGAGTAGCTCATAGCAGTAACTCTTTGATTCTGCAATTGCTTACCTCCAGCAAAATGGAGGCACAAAATGCCCGTTTCAGCAAGACCAGTTGGATGTCTTTGAACATTTTGAGCCACAAGGGAAAAGGGAATTTTGCTTAACATGCAGTGACATGATCCACTGAGATGCAGACTATTGATTCAGTTTTTATTTATCACAGGATCACATTGTGTAATGATGGCATCTCCATGTCACTTGTCTTCCTAGCTAGAGGCGGAATAAAGGTTCAGAATGTTCAGAAGTTGAATTAGCATGTGTACTACATTTTGAAAAGGATGTTTATGCACTATTTGGTTGAATTCCTTTGAACTTTTAAAATGAAATAAGTGACACAGTAGTTGTGTAAATCTGGCAATACACTTTTGAAATGCAACCCTAGATCCAAAATGAACTGTAGAAGCGATGAAAAAAAGTTACATGCAATTAGCATGCTAACCCAAAGTAATACTAATTAAAGACTTGGAATATATATGATTCTTATGCTAAAAAGACAAATTTCTCATTTTCACTAGAATAGAAAACAATTAGTTAACTGAAAAGTTTCATTGAATATTTCAATGTAACCTAATATATTGCATTCAATATTTCTCTATGAAAATAAGTGTTTATATGAGATTTAAAAATAATCCCTGTTAAATTATTTATAATAGCAGAAAACTCCATTAATGTATTACACATGTGATGGTGACGTACTGTAACTTGATTAACCTCTAAATGATTTTGAAAGCAACACAAGACTTCAGTTGATTTATTGTTCAAACTTGCAGAAACCATTCACACTGTTTCACACTTCCTACAGGCACTCCAATGTTGTTAATCAGGGGAAATAATAAATGTAAGGACAGCAGCCAGTTCACTACTGTTCCTCTTCAAGTGCATAGCATAATGACCACAAAGAAGATACAAGGAAGGGGGACTGTCTGCTATAAAAATGTTAATAGAGCATTTTTTCTCAAAAAGGTTTGCACTCCGTTATATGAGGAACAAAGATTATTTAGAAATTGTTCTCTAAAGTTCACTATCTCTGTTATTTCTGTAGGGTAATCAGTTGTGAAGAAGGGAAAGCTTTAGCAGAGTCGTGGAATGCAGCCTTTATGGAATCATCTGCTAAAGAAAACCAGGTATTTAATGACCTGCAATTATTCTTTTTCTTTTTTCTGTAACCTTGTCTGTTAAAGGAGCATGGCCAAGACTTTCATTTAGCCTTTTCTCCTGTCTTGAAGATAATTTATTATCACTTCCCTGTCAACTAAAAATTCACCTGGGATTAAACAGTTGACAGGTTCTCAAGAGCCCTACTTTGGTATCAAAAAATCAAAAATGTATACCACATGCTTTCTATTTCCCTTGGATGTTGAGTAAACAAAGGCAGAACTAAGACATTCTAGTTTAATTAGAATATAAAATTCTTGTTTTGCTTATTTCATTGTTAATTTTACTGAAAAACAGTCCCGAAATACCCTTTGTTAGTCTAAGGTATTTTAAATGGAAACAGATTTGTTAAACATGGTACTCTACAATAGAGTGCACCATTTGGCTGCAGATCTTAACAACAGTGTTTTTATATGTCCCTTTATAGAATACAATTGACCAGTTTTAGCTAGAATTTAAACCAATAATAGATAAATGGACGGTTATGGTGTGACATTTTAGCATAATCAAAGGTCATGCATCTGGTTGAATTATACCTGTCGTGGAATTTGATATGATTAACCACATTTCCTATTCACAGAAGGTCTATCAAACCATCAGTAGCCCTTCTATTGACATCACCTCTGTTCCCAATGGGTCAACATAAGATAAGATCACTTTATTAGCCATATACAATTTCTTGCATTAGGAATTTGTCTTTTTCGCATACCCCAACTTTCGCAACCTCAAATTTTGGGGTCAGAGTGCAGGGTCTGCGCCATTTATACGGTGCTTCTGGAGCAGTTGGGGTTAAGGGCCTTGCTCAGGGGCCCAACGGAGTAGGATTCCTCTGCCAGCCGTGAGATTTGAACCGGCAGCCTTCCAGCCACTGATGCAGATCCTTAGCCACAGTGCCACTGCTCCGCCCCGCAACATGACAGCTACTCAAGTAGCTGTGGTACTAACTGTGTTTAACACAGTTAAAGAGGCATAGAAGAGGCCAGGCCATTTGTTTTCTCAAGATCTAACAGATTGGGCACTAGATGTAAAGCCAACCTTGCTCCTCATGGAATATCATGGGCACATATTGAAAATGAAGACATACTTAAGAAAAGAGGAGGCTGGAAACCCGAATTTCATGTGGGACAAGCAAAGACCTTTTGTGAATCCTGTTGTCACTAACAATTTAAAGAAAAATGGTGTGCAATGAAGGAAGATAGGCGTTCCACATCATCCCATCCCGTGTCTTGTGTAATTTTGTGAATCTTTTTACTGAATGCCAAATCTTAACTGTGCAATGAATGCTCCAAAACATAATCAAAAGTGTACAACAAAAGTCTTTTAAATTGAAAAGATTCATATCCACTGTAATATTTATGTGTACTTGTACACATTCTAAGCTTTAGTGTGTATATGTAGCATTTGTTTCTGTTCTACAAGGTTTGTAGGTGCTTTTGATAGTTGTGGTTATTTATCTTATCTTGCTTCAGAATCAGGTGAAGTGATTTCTTTTACTAGTATCTGGTGCAATAACTACCTGTGAGAAACAGAGAAACAGAAGCCTGCCAAGACCTCTGAACAACATAGGAACAGAATATTTTTATGACAGGAGGCTACTTGAGTTATCTAGATAATTTAGTTTTTAGTTAGTAATTGATACTGTGATCTTACCCACCCATTTCCCAAAAGGAGAGCTCACTTTGAGACAAGAATGTACATAAGAAATGCTGTAGGTATAAATAAAATGGAAGATGTTTTATTGATGGTTTTTAGAAATACACTTCTGTGCGAGTAAGAAGTTATGAATTTGTCCAAGTATTTTCTACTATGTAACATTCCTGCCATGTTTATTAACAGTTTGAGATCCAATAAATTATTAACATGATTTTCAGTTTAAGAAAAAGAAGATATTTTGGATTATAGCTGTAGTTACAGACAAATCAGTACTAGAACCTGAGATGAAGTTTGAACAACTGAATTTCTTGCATGCAAGGAACAATAAGACCAAAGTATTGTTCGAAATATAGGTACAAAACTTCCAGTTCATATAGCAAATTTCAGCTGCTTCTGACGCAAATTGTTACCATAGTAATGGGGGGCCACCTATGTTTGGACATTCCCAAGACCTTGAACACTTTTAATGGTTGGTTTTATCTTTCCTTAGTTAGGGGGTCTTTATCTTGCACTTGGAATTTCATATCAATTAACTCCCACCCCTGCCATAACTCAAAGGTGCCTAAGCATGGAATGTCTTGTGTCGCAAGAAGTCTTTGTGCAGAAAGAAATCAGTTAACCCCCTTTTCACATCTTATATCTTTCTTCATAGCCAAAACTTAAGCTTGAGTGCTATCTGTCATAACATTTTTTTTGTTTTCCACTGGAGAAAAAAAATCAATATTAGTTCGGAGCTTCTAAAACATCGCCCTTTGTGACTTCTAATTCTTTTCACCCGTGTGTAGTCATTTTCTTTCCATTTAATCTTTACAGATCATGTGCATTTCGAAATTGTTAGTAAAGGTCTTTGCTAAAATAAAATGTTAACTTTTAAGTTAACATGGATAACACTTTTTGATCAGATCTTTTTTATTTCTTTATTGAGTTTTCATAATTCACTCTACTGTTTCAAGCCCATGTACCAGAACAGGTGATGAAAATAACGTGCACGGATCCACCACCGGCACTGTTAAGCCATCTGCTTCCTTTCCCACTCTAAGCACGCAGCGTAAAGAGCCAAGCAGAGGCAGGGGATGGAGGGCTTGAAGCACCTCTTAATGACACTGCCGACTCAAGCTGAGCTAGCTTTGAGCTCAATCCGGCAGCTCTTGGCCAACTCTGAGCCTTCTGTATGGGAATCTTATGCAGCGATAGTTGTGGAGCATAGTCCAGATTCACAAGATCCAAGTCTGAGCGAGCCAGACTTTGTGGAAAGACAGGTCTTTTCCTGGTGAGCCACTCTGAAGTCCTGGAACTTTAACAAAAGGAATTTTGATATATGTTATAGATACCTTAAAAAATACTGTATCCATTGAAAATAAGTAATGAACTTCCATACCTCTTTGAAGTGAATGGACTTTTGCCTGTTTCATGAAAACAGGATTACAGGTGTTCTACAGTACATACAAGGCTGCTGTAATGGTGTGGACTATTGTAAGAATTTCTGGAATTTGTTTTTTACATTGGGATGGAGTAGATGAGATTGTAATAGATTTTATTCCTTTCCTTACTTTTAGATCCCTTCTTCTTTTTTAGCTATGCAGTCTTATTTAAGCTTTATAGACATTTTTATGAACAGATTATAAAAGCTTTAATGATTATTTCAGCAGTCATAGCTAAGGCTGTATTGTAAATGTCACAGTGTAAGGATTTTTATACTATCCTGCTGGAGATAAATTTGACCTTTCCTGTGATACATGGATTTAAAATCAAACTGCTTAATGCTGTTAAATTAGTCTGAACGTCAAGGTTGGGTTTTATGCTTTATCTAGCACCTCTATTAAGACTGCATGTTAACTTGTATTAAATAACCTTTTAAGTTAAATATCTATCTGTAGGAAAAAGAGTAAATTAAATTTGAATACCTTTAGAATGAAATTATACTGTCAGTTGTTCATCACTCCTCATTGAGATAAGTTTTGAAACATCAGGACTTTTCATTATAACAGCTTCTTAGAGCTATTAATGCTTTAACACTTCTGACATATACAGATTTGATTGAGCAACCAGTAATGTTCACATTATCCTATATTACATTTTCTTTTGCAAAGTTTATTAACATTTCAGTATTGCTTTTGCTAGAATGTCATTACTGGTGAAACACATTGCATTGACTATGTCAGTGCATATATAAATGTTTGTTTAATCACTAGTCAAATGTTTTGGAACCCCCCAGTCAAAAGACTCTCACAGCGTCAGGCAAAGTGTGGTTGGCTTGAGAGGCATGGAAATGATTTCCATCACATTTCCATGCCAGAGCAGTCCCTATAAATAAATCCAATTAAAAACTTGTTGAATCAGGAGAGAAGGCATTTCAGTCCTCCACTATAACCCTCACCCACTTTGACTTCAGATGATCTTGCCAGAAGAAAGAGAACAATACATTTCAGGTCATGTTCAAACTATTCTTGATATCCTTTAGGCACAGCACTTTATTTAGTGATGGTTCATCATATCCTTGGCCCAGTATTGTATACTGTATACACTTGTATACTGTAGTTATACAGTATAACTCCATAATATGCAGTCATGTTCTTTTTCATATGATTATCCTTCAGCAAAGCAATTTTAAAAATAATAACCTTAAATCGGTTTCAAATACTTTGGTAAGGAATAAAATTACATGTTGATGTCATTCTGCATTCCTGTATTCTGCATTTTGCCTCGTCTCCTATTCCATGTTCAAGCTGTAGTTTAATTAAGGCCTTGCTTGAAGTGCAGTAGGCAGAGTGTTAAAACAGAGAATCCAGCTGGCCCTGTGCCTGATACAAAGGTAATTATATCCACTGTCATTAGAGGACACCATGCACCTCAGTCTACCAGGAGCCATGGTGTAGCTTCTAATTAAAGGTCACAGAGTTTATTTCCAACTCTTGTGAAGATGCAAGGCTCATAACACTGATGCAGTTTAAAATAGATAGCTGTCTCCCAAGCAAAATGTCACAACAGGTGTGTGCAGGAATTTGTAACATTTAATCTACGACCCTGTGTCCTGTCACAGTAAGGTGAGACCACCCTGATTCTGTCACATTGTTATCTGGCTTTGTGGGTATGACAAGGAGATTGTTCTAAACATTGATCAATGGAATAATTCAATTTGAATCAAGACACAAAAGTACATATTCTTGTAGTTATGTGTTTTTAATCATATAAACATGATGTTACTCAGTGAGCTAGGAATCCCTTAACTGAGCAATAATGATTTAATTTAATATATTTGAGGTATTGTTTCTTACACAAAAAATACTGTGTGTTCCATACTCTCAAATGTTTAGCAACCATAGGATTTTTTGGAAACAGAGTATTCTTTTTCCTATATGAAACAAAGTTTTCTTACTACTCAATTCTTCTATTATCATACTCAATTTGGTTATGGCTTCCAAGTGTTACAATTGTAATTTTCCATTTGTCCATTAGGGGGCACATTATTTCTATCTGAGAGAAATGCAGCAGATAGCAGTAATTACGTGAAAAATACATTACACATTTTTAGGCACACCTGAAGAAGGCTCCACGGCCGAAACATTGTGTTTTCTTTCTTCTCTTTTCAGCATGGAATAAACCTTTTACTTGTTCATTTTTAGGTATACCTACAATTAAACCATTTTCATATTTAAACAGTATTTTTAAGTAAATCTGCAGAGAATGGTCCTGAGTAAATAACAGATGAATAACAATAAATTGTGTGTTTCCCGTAATCAGTCAGAGAGCAGCTGCTGACATACAGTAATATGCCAGTAAAATCCTTCTATGTTCAAAGTATTCTCCATTGTTTACATGTCTGTAAAGTCTACTGATACCTCAGCATATACCTTGCAAACTTTCCTACCTGTAAAATACATTCCTCTGTATGCATCAGTGAGATGACGGCAAATTAGCGTCAGAGATGAGGAGAAAATTAATCAGTTATAAGCAAAGCGTTTCTTTTTTCCACTTGTAAATCAAGTAAAGGCATGTTTAAAAATTCAGTGATATGAATTGAAAAAAATATATAAATGAGACATGCTTTGTATTTTGTTGTGTTTACAGGTGTCTTATTATAGACTATTATTATTATTGAAATAATAATAATTAATAATTTCTGAAAGATAACATATCGTTCTATGTACCTTATTACTGTGGGCCTCACTGCTGCTTTTGTTCTTTCTCAGCTTTATGTTTATATAATGAGACATAAAATCTGTTGGGGGGGAAGCAAAGTTTGTTTTATCTTTTTAAAGTTTTAAAAAAATCTTAAAGTACCCTCACAGATGGGGGTCATGAGCTGTTATCCATTGGCAGTGCTTTGATAGGGCAAGACTGTGATTTTGTATATTTCTCTTTCCTTTGGTGTGTGTCAGACTGCAGTAGAGGTTTTCAAGAGGATAATTCTGGAGGCAGAGAAGATCGATGGAGGGGCTCCACAGGGGAGGACTTCCTGCTCACTCATGTAGAACCTGAACCGACGCACTGGACACTGGGATATCCCTCTACTTGAAGAGGCTAACTGCCTGTTTTCCTCCAGATAAACTAGGCTTATTTTTCATTTTTTCTCCCTTTTTTCTAAAACAGGAAAGAGAAACAGTCCTGAGATTCTCTTTCTAAAATTCTGTTCCTCTACGCACTGGGTACTCCCCACTTCACTCTAGCCCCATCTCTGTGCAAGAGCTTCACTTCTGATTTCTGATTTTAAGCCTTTTTTTCTACTTTCCTTTTTTCTTTCTTTTTCCAATTTGTATATTGTATTTCCTAAAGATTATTATGGCAAATAAATTTGCCAGCATTAATTTCTTGTGTAGTTGAAATGTTTAAAATCTTTTTGATTGTAATCATTAAAGCAGCATATTGGTACACTATTATTTAAGTCACTAGCCCTGGGTGTGTGTGTCATTTATCCTTTTATCCCCAGTTTCTCATTCTTGCTTGTCATTTACATTTCACTTGTGAACTGGAATGAGGCTGACAACTTTATTCCCATTTGATGATCACCATTATTGTTGTTGATTAAAAAGCATTTAGAATGGAGAACTGTCAGATGTTCAGATTCACAGACTCTTTTATGTTATTTAAAGTTTTTGAAGAGTGATATTTTTAAATGCTGAATATTTCCAGTGTCCAGAACTTAGGAGTTGGAATTGGTTAAAAACGTAAGCATAACTACATACTTTAGAGTATACAATATCTATATCACAGTTTTTCTTTTAGGAAATGGTGTGTTTTATAGCATACAGTTGAAGGTGTAATTTGATCATTCACATCATATATAAAGGTGTTTTAGGTTGAAAATGTAAGAGGGTGCTTTTTTTGGGTTTTACTTCTCGTCTTCACATTGGTTTTTGCCTTTGCCAGTTTTCTTTCCTTCATTTCATAGGACCACTGTGGGCCTCTTCCAGATACAGCAGAGGCATGCGTGCATGCTGCAGGTACTGATTAGCTTAGCTGCCTTTCACACAGTTGATCTGGGTCTGGTTCCTTTCCACTGGAAGACTGCAGTTCATCACTGTTGTCTGGAAAAGTCATTAGCGCTCTGGAAGCATGACGGGAGGGTTGTGGGTTCAAATCCAAGTTGGGATTGTGTCCTAGTGTAAAGTATATCACCCAGAATGCAACAGTGAGTTCTTTATAAATAGATTATTTCCATATTTTCAATAAAAATTTAAACTTGATTGACCTAACTGATGAAATAAAGCATTAAAATGTAGACTCCGTACAAAAATCTTCAAAACATATTCCAGTGAAGGTGGTGGTGGGGTTGAACCTTAATCTGATTAGAGACAATTGACCGTTCTAATGCAGGGGCATCACACTAATATCAGATTTAGTTACAAAACTTAAATAAAATGCATGTATCAGTTAACTTGTTCTCTAGTAGAAAAAAGACTCCCATTAAAATATAATATGCTCCATTAAGAATGAAATTAAAAAAAAATGTGAAGACGCCAATTATCCAGGTGCAGTATTTATTCACAACTGCTCATCATACACAGTGTTGACATTAATATTTCCTCTACAAGTATGCAGATAAGGGAAAGATCCTTATAATACCAGACAGATTGTGAAAATTTCTTAAGCCATGTCCATTAGGTGAATAATAATAATAATAATACCTGTCTCAGACTAATCAATTTATGCATGTAACCTAATATGACAATATAATGTTCAAACAGGGACAAGAAGATATATGGTAAAATAATATCTGGTATATATAGTAAATGATTTGTTTTTTTATTTGTTATACAGCAAAACATGATTACAGGGTCTTGACTTTACTCAATGTATTTGTCTTCTGGAATTCAAGATGCACTCCTACCAAATTTCTTAAATATCACATGGGATTTGAGTCATGCTATTGTTTGATCAATCTGCCAGATTGTGTGTTTTTATTGCAGCATTTCGTCTTACAGGCATCTTCCTTCAGTCTGTTCTTTTGTCCTGACCTTAATACCATATGCAAAGGTAGGAGAGAAAAGGGGTACAACTCGTAACTCATTGAAGCTAAGCAGGTGTGAGCCTGGTCAATACCTGGACGGGAGACCTCCTGGGAAAAACTAAGGTTGCTGCTGGAAGCTGTTAGTAGGCCCAGCAGGGGGTGCTCACCCAGCGGTCTATGTAGGTCCTAATGCCCCAGTATAGTGACGGTGACACTACACTGTATAAAGGCGCCGTCCTTTGGATGAGACATAAAACTGAAGTCCTGACTCTCTGTGGTCATTAAAAATCCCAGGGTGTTTCTCAAAAAGAGTACTCCTGGTCGAATTTCCCATTGGCCTTGACCAATCTTGGCTTCCTTAAAATCCCCATCTATAAATTGGCTTCATCACTCTCTTCTCCCCACTGATAGCTGATGTGTGGTGAGCATACTGGTGGACTATGGCTGCCGTTGCATCATGGTGGAGGGGAGTCCCCATTACCTTTTACCAAGTTTTTTTTTTCTAAAAAAGTTAAGTTCTATGTCTAGACTTAGAAACTCCCAATGTGCCTGAATCCTTGATTTCTCTTGGGATATGAATTGTGGGTATGACAACCAATGGCACTGTCACTCATAGAGTGTAGCAGAACTGAGGGAGCACACAGTAAACCTAATCAGATGAGTGGAGGGGAGTAAACAAAGAGCAAACATATTGGCTGGATACTGGGAATACAAGCCATGTAGGTCCATGAATGTAAGCAGAACGATTTTAAAAACAATTTCAAACCTGATAGAAAAGCAGTGCAAGAAACCAGTGGAGTGATGTGATCACTTGTGTGTGACCTAGTGAGGAATCTACTTAAACAAATTCTGAACGTCCAGCTTGTTATGTTAGAGACTCCTGCAATTAAAGTGATACAATAATCAAACTCTAAAAAAGGCCAAAAGGAGTTTCTCAACTTCAAATAGTATATGATACAGCCTTGTAATATTCATAAAGGTTTTGAGACATTTGGCACTAGGCCATGAATCACCCCCAAACTCTTACATTTGAATCAAAATTCAAGCACAGCGCTGTCAATTAACAGGAACACAACTAGCTATTTATCTAACTGATGGACTTTACTTTGTGTTTGCTTTCAGTCTTTTAAAACACTAATGTTAATGTCAGCTCACTTGCTTTATAAGTGTTGCTGTACAGCATCTTCAAGCAGAACACAGTTTACACATGGAATCTTTCATAATTTGGAAGATTAGTTAATAGAAAAATATAAAATATCTTGGAGTTAATGGAATTTGAATAAATCAGGTAAGACACTATAGACAGATGGGTTATGAATAAAATACAATTTTCACATTGTAGCCTAAGGTAAGACAGGTGTTACCCTGCACAAATGTGTGCATAATTAATTATGATGTTGTAAATAAGGGTCAGACCAATCCAAGGCTATACATTATGTATTATGGTGAGACATGCAGTCTCCAGGAAGATGTTTTAGTTATGTACTTTCTTTATTTTTCAGCTTTGTTAAATCAAATGTGAAACATTTTTAAAAGACAAATTTTAAAACTGTTTTGTAGAGTAAAACTACAGTATCCTACAGGTCCTACAGTATTTCCACTGCTCTACTGTGTTCAAATTTTGCAACTCCCTGTCACATTATCAATAAATCACTAAACTCTGAAATTGTTCTCTTAACCATTAAATCTGAAGTTATTACACCTCTGTTATTAAAGCAGAATTCAGACTCTGTTCCCCTCAATAATTACTGGCCAACATTGCATTTTTGTCAGAGATTCTAGAATGGATAGTATCTGTTCAGTTATAAGCTCACTTATGTTCAAATAAGATGCATGAACCTTTACAATCTGGGTTCAGATAAACGCATAGTACAGAAACTGTTGTTGTTAGGGCTTATAATGATCTTCTGATTCTATTTTTTTATCTATTCTGATCCATTAACCATCCCTGCTGAACCTTCTTCCTGCCTTTGACATACTGTACCATTTCACTGAATAGAGTATAGAAGGTTTTTGGTGTTACTCAACTGCTTTGTTGTAGTTTAAATATTGTCTGAAAAAAATACTGTTCAACAATTCTTCTTTTATAGGACAGGTTTAGTCCAATTTATGATTAGTCCAATTATCTTACCTTTGCTTGACATTAATCAGCTACTGACATTAATCACTATTAGCCTCATCACTCCATTTAGATGATGTAAAACGTTTGTACAAAAAAAAGTTTTAACCCATGTTGCATCCACTTTTTTTTACATCTGGACTGTGACAAGCCCGACGTGGTTGATGATTGGTTATCCTTATCAACTCCACATATTTGCCAATCTTAAAGAAGAGCTAATCCATGCTTTGTCTTTTCCAAGTTCTGATTTTTGTAATGCAGTGATTGCTGATTTATCCAGATATACTCTTAACAAGTGGCAACATGCTTTTAACTCAGCTGCTCAGAATTTAATCAAAACTAAACTGCATGAGCAAATATCCAGAATTCCACAATAAAATTAATCAGATATCACTGAACTGTTAAGCCCCACATCTACATGCCATTTGTACTCTTTCAATTCCCAGTACAAGGCTCTGAGCACTGGGAGACCCTGTTTTCCATTCTGTAGCTCCAAGACTGTGGAATGATTTGCCAGCCTGTATCGGATTGCGCAAGTCAATCAGCATTCTCAAATCCTAACTCGAAACGTACTTCTGCACTGTAGCTTTTAATATTCTGCTTTTGTGTATACCTGTCTCTTTCATTTATTGGATTGTAAAGTGCCTTGAGGTGGTGTACCGTGAAAGGTGCTATATTAAATAAAGGTCTTTCTTATTTTTAACCCAAATCTTGCATGTGAAACTTATGTTTGCATTATTGCGAAGGTATCTTTTATTAATCCTTGCAACATTGTGTGTGCCCATACACATCTTGCCCAATCTGAGACAGAAAAGCTAATCCATACTTTGTCCAGGCTTGATGGAATTCATGACTTATTGCTTTAACCACACAAATTCTTAACAAATAGTAGCCTGTTAATAACTCTAGTACTTGGATTTAAACTCTACTAAAATAGATATATGAGCATAGACCACCTGTGTTTTAGTTTCCTCATACGGGCCTCATGTGGATTTCAGAATAAAATTAAAATGCTGCTGCTCACATTTTTTAAGGGATTGAACAGTGGTTCCTGACTCCATCAGTGAACTGTTCATGCCACGTATATTTTCTAAATCACTTTATCCAATACAGGGTCAGAGGAGAGCTGTAGCCTATCCCCGCAAGCAACGGGAGCAAGGCAGGGTACACCCTGGACGGTATACCAGTCAATCACAGGGCAGACACAGAAATAAGCATTCTCTCACACCAGGGCCAGTTCTTCCAGGCACCAATTAACCTACCAGTATGTTTCTGGACTGTTGGAGGAAACTCATGCAAACGCAAGGAGAACATACATACTCCAATAAAATAAAAAAAGAGATCCCTGGTCTAGAATTAAACTCAGAACCCCAGTACTGCAAGGCAGCAAAACGTTTAGTCCCATGATCCCAAATAGAAGCTTGCAGGTGATAAAGGGAATTCTTTTACAGCAAAAGGTGACTTGAACGGTGGAAGGGAATGGTAAAGAGAACTGTGTACAAGAAGGTTTTAAAGATAGGTGTTCAAGGGTATGAGATGAAAACTTAGTAGCTGTACATCACCGCACCTTCACTCTTCTTTTTTCCCTCACACCTGAAGAAGGTTCAACAGCAAAAAAAAGAAAGTGTTCTTTCTGTTTTTCAGCATGGAATTAATCTCTGTTACCACCCCTTTACAGCCAACTCACTGACGCAGTTCCTCTCACTCCTACATGTCTCTTTTGTTTATTTTTATTCT